ACGACGATGACTATGGGAACGATCAGGCTTCCTGTGGTAGCTGGCGGAGTCACTAAGATCGTCGAATTCTGCGTCACCGATCACCCGGCAATATACAATGTGATCATGGGAACTCCGTGGATCAACGGGATGAGGGCGGTACCCTCTACCTATCATCTCTGCCTCAAATTCCCAACCCCAGCAGGTGTTAAAACGATCTGGGGGAGTCAGAAGGAGTCACGAATGTGCTGCCTAGCCGAGCATAAGCTAAGGAACCCCGTCACCGACGCACGAGCAGACATCGATCGCAAAAAGATGAAGACAGACCGAGAGCCCGCGAACGAGCTCTTGAAACTCTTATAGCAATTACAGATCGTGGAGAGCCGCGAAACACGCGCCGAGCCAGTATGCTGCAGTGGACTCGGTATGTATAGATGAGGCGCGCCCGGAGCGATGCGTCGAAATAGGAACAAAACTGGAAGAGCCTCTGAGAAGCGAACTCCTTTCCCTCCTCAAGGAAAACATCAACACTTTCGCCTGGACAGCAGAAGATATGCCAGGCATAAGCATCGACGTGACCTGTCACGAGCTGAATGTGGATCCGACCTTTAAACCAGTGAAGCAGAAAAGAAGGAAGCTCGGCCTCGAACGAGCTAAAGCAGTTAACAACGAAGTCGAAAGGTTACTCAAAGTAGGATCAATCGCCGAGGCCAAATATCCGGACTGGCTCGTAAATCCGGTGGTCGTGAAGAAGAAGAACGGCAAGTGGCGAGTATGTGTGGATTTTACCGACCTCAACAAGGCGTGCCCAAAAGACAGCTTTCCCTTGCCACACGACCGGCTCGTCGAAGCCACTGCAGGGAATAGACTGTTAACATTTATGGACGCGTTCTTCGGCTACAATCAGATCCTAATGCATCTTGATGATCGAGAAAAAACGGCATTCATAACTGATCGCGAGATATACTGCTACAAAGCCATGTCGTTCGGGCTCAAGAACGCAGGAGCAACGTATCAACGGCTCGTCAATAAAATGTTCGCGGCTCAGCTCGGAAAAACTATGGAAGTATACATCGACGACATGTTAGTCAAATCACTCAAGGAGAAAGACCACGTCGCGCATCTACGGGAATGCTTCGAACAATTGAACAAGCACAACATGAAACTAAACCCGGCAAAGTGCAGGTTCGCGGTCACCTCGGGAGAATTCCTCGGCTATCTGGTAACTCAACGAGGCATAGAAGCAAACCCCAAGCAGATCAAAGCTTTAATTGAGATGCTCTCTCCAAGGACGAAGCGCGAAGTGAAGAGGCTCACAGGAAGAGTCGCCGCGCTAAACAGGTTTATTTCCTGTTCCACAGACAAATGCCTGCCCTTCTACGACACCTTCCAAGGAAACAAAAAATTTGAGTGGGACGAACGATGCGAAACGGCTTTCCAGGAATTGAAGAATTATCTGGCGAGCCCACCAATCTTAGCAAAACCAGTCGAAGGAGAGCCGCTCTTCCTCTACATCGCAGTGTCTGCTACAGCTGTAAGCGGAGTGCTTATCAGAGAAGAACGATCCGAGCAAAAGCCCATTTTCTACATCAGCCAGACATTGACCGACGCCGAGACTCGCTACCCCCAGATCGAGAAGGTTGCCCTAGCCGTCGTAGTCTCGGCTCGGAAACTGCGCCCGTACTTTCAATCACATTCGATTGTTGTGCTCGATATGCTTCCACTGCGCTCGATCCTACACAGCCCTAGGCAATCCGGTCGGCTCGCCAAGTGGGCCATATAGCTAAGCGAATACGACATCGAGTATCGGAACAGGTCGTCTGCAAAGTCACAGGTGCTCGCAGATTTCCTCATTGAACTTCCTGTCGAAGCGACAAACGAGCCGACACTAGACGAAGTGTGGACGCTGCATGTCGACTAAACACTGCTCGGGAATAGGAATCCTCCTCACCTCTCCCACCAGAGAAATATTGGAGCAGTCTTTTCACCTGAACTTTCACGCCTCGAACAACGAAGCGGAATACGAAGCACTGATCGCCGGCATACGATTAGCGCAGGGAATTGGAGTTCGAAAGATAAAAACCTTTTGCGATTCACAGCTCATAGCATGTCAGTTCAACGGAGAATACGAGGCAAAGAATGGACGAATGGGAGCTTACCTCAAAGTGGTCCGAGAGTTGGTGCAAAAATTCGATGAGTTCGAACTCACTCGCATTCCCCGAGGAGAAAACACCTCGGCCGACGCATTGGCAGCACTCGCTTCGACTTCAAACCCAGACCTCCGGTGAACGATCCCAGTCGAATTCATCGAACGTCCTAGCATCGAAGAGGTGGAAGGAGTTCGGCTGATAAATCCTCCTGAACAAGAACCAGAGGACGACGAAGCCGTTCCTATGGACGAAGATGCCTCACCGGCCGAGCCGGAGTACGGCTGCGACAAAGAATGACTCGGAGCTATCCGAATGTATATCGCCGATGGAGAGGTGCCAACCGACAAATGGGAAGCCCGCAAACTAAAAGCTCAGGCCGCGCGGTATGTCCTCGTCGATGGCGAGGTGTTTAAGTGGAGATTTTCAGGGCCTCTCATGACATGCGTCGAAGGACCGGAGGCAAGAAAGATCATGCACGAGGTGCACAGCGGCGCGTGCGGGAACCATTCCAGCGGAAGGTCGCTCGCTATCAAGATTAAACGGCACGGCTACTTCTGGCCCACGATGGTCAAGGACTGCGAGAAATTTACAGCGAAGTGCGAGAAGTGTCAGCGGCACGCTCCAACAATTCATCAACCCACCGAGTTGCTGTCGTCAATTTCATCACCTTATCCGTTCATGAGATGGTCGATGGACATCGTCGGACCTCTACATCGCTCGAAGCAGAAACGTTTCCTGCTCGTCCTCACAGATTACTTTTCCAAATGGGTCGAAGCCGATTCCTACGCAAGCATAAAGGATGTTCAAGTTGAACACTTCGTCTGGAAAAATATCATCTGCCGACACGGGGTCCCCTACGAGATAGTCACCGACAACGGATCCCAGTTCATCTCAACACGCTTCGAAGCCTTCTGCGAGAAGTGGAAAATCCGCCTCAGCAAATCTATGCCAAGATACCCTCAAGGGAACGGACAAGCCAAAGCAGCCAACAAGACGATCCTCGACGGTCTGAAAAAGAGGCTCGACGCCAAGAAGGGACGGTGGACAGACGAACTCGAAGGAGTCCTTTGGTCTCATCGAACAACTCCGCGCCGAGCCACCGGGGAAACTCCATTCACTTTAGTCTACGGATCGGAGTGCGTAATTCCCGCCGAGGTGGATTTCCCAGGTATTCGACGAAGACTTCTACCAGGACAGGAGGGCTTGAACCACTTAATGATGCTAGATGAGCTCGACCTAATCAACGAAAAGCGCGACCAAGCCTTAATTCGAATACAAAACTATCAACAAGCAATGGCGCGATACTACAACAAAAACGTTCGTAGCCGAAGATTCAAAGCAGGGGAGCTCGTCCTCCGGAAGGTCTTCCAAAATACTGCCGAGAAGAACGCAGGAAAGCTCGGAGCAAATTGGGAAGGTCCTTACAAGGTCACAAAAGTGGTTCGTCCAGGAGTCTACGAACTCGCGACACTAGCTGACGAGGCGATTCCAAGATCATGGAACGCAATGCACCTGAAGAAATACTATCACTAAGGATACAGCACGACCAACACGAACTACAGGACGGCTTGATCCCTGCAAAGGGTACGTAGGCAGCCCGTCCTCGGACGGGTTCAGCTGTCCCCCCTCCTAAAAAGGGGGGGGGGGAGTGTGGGTACGTATACATACCTCTTTTAACTCTACAATTTTAGCTTGCTCACTTAGGAACATCGCCACTTTGGCACATTCTCAGTTCGTTTTGAACCATCTACTTATTTCACGTCTGTTCATTATCACTTCGGCTAGTTTCTCATTCTTTCTAAATCAGCAACTTATTGTAACAAGTTCGGATTTTTTAATTCTTTCACTCATCACTTCGGCGAGTAATCATGACCTGGTTACCTCGGACCTTAATCGGTCCTCAGTTTCAGTTCGGCAAACTAAGCCACCGAACGCCTCGTTTCGTTGCTGGCCACAACGGGGCAACGAATACAAAGTTCTCTAAACGGACTTTTACCACCTTTCCTAGGACGAGGGTGCAAGTTACATCCTCTATGGATAAAAATTAAGCGCGCTATACAAATATCAGACCAAAAACGTATCAGGTCGCCACAGTTTACTATCGCACACGAGATTATAAGTCGAGACTACATCGCTTTCTCTAAAACCGAAGTAAACTCTTGAAACCCGGACACACATACTCATCCTCTCGGAAACGCCGTTCCATAGTCAAAATCAATAAGACTACCGAGTCATCCTCGGTCAACAAAAACAAAAACAAAACGCCTCGTCGTTTACACGGCTCGGCACCACGCAACGAGAAAAATGCCTCATCGTTTACACGGCTCGGCACCATGCAAAGCGAAAACGCCTCGCTGTTTACACGGCTCGGCACCACCCAACGAGAAAAACGCCTCGTCGTCTACACGGCTCGGCACCATGCAGGGTTTAAGACGCCTCGCCGTTTACACGGCTCGGCATTGCCAGCTAAAATTTGCCTCGACTTTCCAGCACCACCTAAAAGATGTTCCACAAAACTAACTTCCAGCTCGGGATTAAGAATCCAAACGAGATCCCTAAACGACTCGACCCTTAGCTCATATTTCTATCGATTTCGGCCAAGGAAAGCGATCAAAATCATTTTTGACGCGGCAGTTTTCATCCTCGACAATTTTCTCTAAGCCAACGGTTTTCACAGATATTCGTACAGATCGTTAAAAATAAATGCTTCAAATCCTAAAACGGCAAAGGGAAAGAGAATATATCCATATGCGAAAATATATGTCGGGTGGATAAAGCCGTCCAGGCACATATTACATAAAAAGTTTGGAAAGCAGATAAAAATCCTAAGTACAGAAGCATGAAAGACAAAACAGAGAAAAGCAAAGAATATCAGGCCGCGGACTGCTTTTCACGCACGGCAAGGAGGTTCGAGAGGACCGGCGTGCCCGCATTCGATCCGTTCGGATCAACGACGCCTAAGTTGGCCGCTGTCTCTTCGAGTGGCTCGTTGCCTAGGTTGGTGTCGACCGAATCCGGCGATACGGGCGAGAAAACCAGATCGCTTCGGATCTCGGAGGCAATGCGCTCATACGCGTCGTCGTCAGCATATTCGCTCTCCCATCTCTTTAGCTGTGCCTCCTCATCATCGAGCGTCGGGGCGTCTGGTCTCTTCAGGACGGCAATCATCGCAAGATTGCCCTTGATTTGCCCCAGATCGTTCTCGTCGTTTTTGGCCTTCTCGAGCTTGGCCAAACCCTCCTCCACCTTGGCGAGGCGTTCCTGAAACTTTTCCGTAAGCTCTCGCCTCGCCTCCTTTTTCGCCCGCTTGACCTTGACGTCAAACAAGGCATCCTTGGCCTCGATACGCCTCTTCAGCAACGCCACCTCGGCGCTTTTGGCTGTCCTTGCCTCCTCCAGGCGAATTTCCGAGGCGGAAACTTTGTCAACGTTGGCGCGGAGAACTATTTTCTCCTCTTCCAGCCTCGACACTCTGGACATCGCCTCGTCGAGTTTCCCCTTCGCCGCCGCAGCCTCGTTCTGGGCCTCTTCCAGCTTCGCCTTTGACGCCGCGGTCTCGCCTCGGGCCTCGTCTAAGCGACGTTCGACCTTAGACAAGTCCGCCTCGTATTCGGCCATCATGTCGTTAATGGCCGCAACAAACTGCAAAGAACAAACTCGCGTTAAAAACTTAGTAAAAGTTTGCGGAAATAAAGGAAAACAAATATAACGTACCTTGGTACCGCGCTGTGCCATCGTGCCATACGACCTCGGCCTTCTCAGCTCCTCCGGAGGAGGAAGGCGCGTGCTCGCGTTTTTTACACGCGAGAACATGACGGCAGAGGCGTCGGGGTCGTCCACGACCAACTTGCGCGTGGCAGGGTCCCCGGGCGTCGGCTTCCGCCTCTTCTTGGACGGCTCGTCTTTCTGAACGGCGATGCCCTTCCCTTTGTCAGTAGCCAAACGTTTTCGGCTAGAGTCATGCTTCTGAACAACAGAAGTCGGTGGCCTCGTCGACTTCGGGAGGGCCAGGATGGCAGAATGCGAAAGAGTCTTACTCCGTGCCGCCGAGCCTTCTCCGGACACCTCGGGATAATTTCGCCCGGTTCCACCTCGGGCGCTGCATCTTTTTCAGCCGCCTCGGCAGTGTTGCCTTCTGCGACTCGGTCCATTACATCCCCTTCCCGCCTCGGCGGGTCGGGTTGAGGGATGGCCTCGGCTTGCGCTGAAACCGCCTTGGCTTGAATCGCCTCGGTTTGCGCATGAGCCGCCTTGGCAGCTCGTCTAGCGGCCTCCTCTTCCTTGCGCCTCTTCCTTTCTCTGAGAGCAATTATCACCATCTTCTCCCGGGTATCTCTTGAAGAACTTGAGGACGAAGAGCTGACGGGGACTCCGGCGAGGATGGCTCGCGCTTTTTCTACTCTTTCGAGGGTGAAGTTCTTTCTCCAATTAACCTTCCGCGCCGAAAGAGAGTCTCGAACAGTAAAGAGGTCGTCAGGAATCGGGGGAAGAAAGCACCGAACTGCAAAACAAAGCAAAAAAGAAAATCTTCAGAAAAGGAAGAAGATACCAAAAATAGTTCCGAGCCGAGGCAAAGCTTCGGGTCGGCTACCAAGTGGTCCCCAAGCGGTCTTGGTTCTTTGAACGTAATTCTCGCCGACCGACGCCTCGTTCACCAAGACGTAAAAGAAGCGTTCAGTCCAAAACTGATCCTTGCAGGGAAAACCGCCGATGATCCGTCGCTTCGCCTTGTTGGAAATATAGAATCTATTTCCCTTCGGAGCTTTCCTGACTTCCAGCAAGTTCAGCAGGTGATTCAGCTCGATATCAACTCCGCACTCGAAGCTTCGAACTAAGATGCCGATCATATGCCGTAATCCCCTCGGCATGATTTGCCCAATCGAGATCCCGTGTTTCCAGAGATATTCGAGGATCACTCCGGGGATCGGGAACCAGAGGAAGCAAAGCTCGAAGAACGCCTCGTACAGAGTGAAATGATTCTCTGGAGGGTTATCGGCTCGGTCGCTCTTCTCTGGGACGACGACTCCACGCCTCGGATATCCCGAAGCGATGCCTCAACGCCCCGAGCGACTCAAGGGAGCAGAGTGTAGATCCAGGCGGGTCAGGTTTTTGTCTCTTAACTCTCGGCCTTCGCCCAGATGTGGAAGCGCCTCGGGACGCCATGAGACGTTCCAATTCAAGCTTCGCCTCGAAAAGGTCAAAGGGAAATGCCTCCTCCTCGGCCTTGAGTGCGGCGCGGTTAATGTCCTCATCAGGAACGGGATCCTGGGGACGGCTCGTCGAAACCGACGACTCGCCATCCGGAGAGCCGACATCTGATGGGCTTGCATGGTTTGAAGCTTCGTCAGATGAGCGATTGGAGGGGCTCGGCGAAACAGACGCCTCAGAGGATTCTGCCGTACCTCTCGCCTCAGCATCTACGCGGCTCGGCTCGTAATGAAAAAGTGAATCCAACGAATCGTCGGAGCAGCTCGACATAATTTACGACTTGTACAAGAGTTACAGCACGACTCGGCGAGCCTCTACCGGAAAAAGATCTTGAACGGCGGAGACCTCGGAAACCCTAGCCGGAAAATAAATAAACTAGAGAGAGAAAGAAGAGAGAAGGGAGAGCTACCCTTAGTAAAAACGAGTGAGTCTGAAGATAATGAGGAAGAATGAAGGAGCTCACCCATTTATAGGAAAACCGAAGCGCGTGAATTCCGCATAAACCTCGGGAAGCCTTCCAAACAGCGCGTGGAATCTGCAGTGAAATGGCTATATCGAATTGCGTCGGTCGCACACGCCAATAAATCAAGAATCTTCTCTCGGAAGACCAACAGTTGGGATATCCAAGTTTTCATCCGGTGTCTCACCAAAGAAAACACCTCGTCGTTAATGAAACGGCACGGCATTAACTCTTTCTCTTGAAACTCCTCGTCGTTAACGAAACGGCTCGGTGCTAACTCTTGCTCTTGAAACGCCTCGTCGTTAACGAAACGGCTCGGCGCTAATTCTTGCTCTCAAAACGCCTCGTCGTTAATGAAACGGCACGGCATTAACCCTTTCTCTTGAAACGCCTCTTCGTTAACGAAATGGCTCGGTGCTAACTCTTGCTCTTGAAACGCCTCGTCGTTAACGAAACGGCTCGGCGCTAACTCTTGCTCTCAAAACACCTCGTCGTTAACGAAATGGCTCGGGATTAATTTTTCTCTCGGAACGCCTCGTCGTTAACGAAACGGCTCGGCACGAACTTCCTCTCGAAACGCCTTGTCGTTAACGAAACGGCTCGGCGTTAACTCCTTCTCTTAAAACGCCTCGTCGTTAACGAAACGGCTCGGCGCTAACTCTTGCTCTCGAGACGCCTCGTCGTTAACGAAACGGCTCGGTATTAACTTTTCTCTCGGAACGCCTCGTCGTTAACGAAACGGCTCGGCACGAACTTCCTCTCGAAACGCCTCGTCGTTAATGAAACGGCTCGGCGTTAACTCCCTCTCTTAAAACGCCTCATCGTTAACAAAAACGGCTCGGCACGAACTTTCCCTCGAAACGCCTCGCCCTTTGTTCGGCTCGGCATAACCTTCTCAAGTCGCCTCGGCTCATCATTACCAAAAAAAATCGCCTCGTCCTTAAACTTGCCTCGGCACCCTCGGCACTCCCTGGAAACGCCTCGGCGTCATCATTCCCAAAACACCTCATCTGGGCTTATGTCATAACAGCTTGACTCGATGGTTTATCATACGGTCAGGAGTAATGGACCTCGTTACTCTCGCCTCCGAAACTGACGAGCTGGGGGGCTAACTGTTGGGGTCGGTTTTCAACCCACGTAGTTAAGACCATCTCAAAATGACTAAGTATGGAAGAAAGACAAGCGGAAGAGTCGTTCTCACCAAGTGGGAGAGCCGTTGTCACCAAGTGGGAGAGCCGTTCTCACCAAGACAAGTGGGAGAGCCGTTCTCACCAAGTGGGAGAGCTGTGAAGATAGACCAGTAGGGAGAGCCGTGAGGAAAAGAGAGATGGGCCGAGCCGTATCACAAGAAATGGGCCGAGCCCCTCTCCAACACGCCTGGGCCGAGCCGTGCTTCGGTGAGGTGGACCAGCTCACGTCTTGACTCAAATGGCAAATGTCCCAAGCCGTGGAGAAGTTTAGATGGGCCGAGCCGTGGAAGAGCTTAGATGTCCCGAGCCGTGGAGAAGCTTAGATTGGCCGAGCCGTGGAGAAGCTTAGATGGGCCGAGCCGCAGCAAAGGAGAATGATGGGCCGAACCGTGGCCTTGGGAGACGAAGCCCATAAAAACCTTAGGCGAAATACAAAGGCGGTGAGCCGCACGAGGCGATAAGGAAATATTTCGAAAATCTCTCCCGAGATTCTCGGCTAGACGGTTCAGAGAGTTAGTATAAATAGACGATGTATACAATTCATTCTGGAACTTTTGCAACCCTAAGCAATAAGAGCTAAACACTTTCACAGCAAGAAAAACTTTCTTTCGATCTTACTGTTCTTGACGATAAACCCTAGAAGTTTCCGATCCCTTAGTTCTCCTTAAACAAATTTCTGATTGTGCGAGTTTTGGCTCACACAATTCAGATGTATACAATGAGGAGTGTTGCATGCGGAAAGAGGTGATAGCGGCTAAGCCAAGCTGGACTAGGCGATGGCGGCCAAGACCAAGCTGGACGAGGTGATGGCTCGGATCAATGTGCTGGAATAGGAGAAGATAGCTCTCTGAGCAGATTTTAAGAAGGCCGCAGCTACGGCTGCCCATCTCGAGGAGGTCCAGAGGAAAAAAGGCTCCAAAATTGCTTCACTGAGGAGGCGTATCGAGGCCAAAGATGCTTTGCTTGAGGCTCGGGTGAAGCGAGCTCGTAAAGAGGCGAGGCGTGAGGCGATGCTCAAGTACCAAGAACGCCTCTCGAAGATAGAAGAGGCCATCGAAAAGCTTCAGAAGTCTAAAAACGATGAGAATGAGCTCGGCTTGATCAAGAGCAACCTTGCCATGATCGACGAACTCTGAAAGCCTGACACTCCAACTCGAGATGCCGAGGAATTGAAATTGAAGGCTGGAAAGCCCATTATAGTGGGGCCGACGAGACATATGAATGTGTCGCAACCGAGCTCAGAGGAGAGTTGGTTTTTACCCCAGTCTCGCCGGACTCCGTAGATTCTCACCTTGGAAATGAGTCGCAAGAAGATGCCATGGCTGATGTAAGGATCTCGGATCCTATAGGATCAAATGTCAGAACTCCAGGCATTACGAATCTTCTTGCCGACAGAGAGTCGCACACCAAAGAGTGATCTTTGCTTGGCCGCTTACCGTTTCTTTAGATATTTTTTTTCATCCATGCATTCGGGTGATTTTTGTATTTTGTCTTATCTTTCGAACCTGGTGCCTGGATGGCTTTATCCGTTTTGCTTACTTTTGCTATCTTTTGAACTGTGTGCCTGGATGGCTTTATCCAACATTTCTGTTATGTGACAATTTCATCGATCTTTGAAGAATATTGTTGCATTGGCTGTTATTTCTATGCATAGGATCTTATTATGCTGAACTGTTCTAGATCGATATTCTTTGACGACGAGATGAGGGTTTGAAAACTAGATTCGTGACGAGGGGTTGAGCTTTAAGAGATCTTTTTTTAGCGTAATCGAGGTGTCAAACCATGATTCTCTGTTGAAGAGAGGAGAACTGAGATGTATTTTAGAGTGATGGAGTTGAGTTGTTCTTTTTGAAATGCGATTAACGACCGGCATTTTCGAGCTGGTAGGTATGGGTTTTTAGAATTCACTTTCAGCCTTTAGGGAATGTGATATTGTCTCGACATATGTTCCCGTATACGATAGTAAATTAATTTGACCGATGCGTTTGGTCTAGGATTTATATAGCATGCTTTATTTTTATCCGTAGAGGATGTTTCACCCACCCTTGTCCTAGGGAAGGTGATAAAAAGTCCATTTAGAGAATTTTATATGTGTTGCCCCGCTGTGGCCAGCAATGAGGCGAGGTGTAATCTGTGAAATATGCTAAGTAAACTTAAAAAGGGAGTTTTTATTCTTGCTTGAAGGTATGTACTGATGTGAGGTAGTGACTAAGTAATGAAAAGTGACGAGCATGAGGTAAAGTAACTGCTAGGTGTTGAAACTAAGATCGAGGTGAGATGCAAGTAACTAAGACAAGGTATAAGAGGGAAAACGAGCCAAAGTCTAATCTTTTAAGAAGGTGTAAGTAAATGTATATGTACCCACTCCCTCTCCCCTTTTTTAGGAGGGGGAGGGACAGCTGAACCCATCCGAGGACGGGCTGCCTACGTATCCTTTGCAGGGATCAAGCCGTCCCATAATTTATGTTTGTCGCGGTTTATCCTTTGTGATAGTACTTCTTGTTGAGATTTGCGGAATTGTATTGAAAATAAGAAAGAAGAGTAGAACAGAGAAGAAAATGTTTCCTCATTTGATTCTCAACAGTTAGCGGCTACAAGGTATTTAAAGAGGGAGACAAAAAAAATCTAATACATATGGGCCGACTGTTGGGCTTATATAAAGACTTTATAAAAGCTTCTAAAGTCTTCTAAAATCTTATAATATCTTCTAAAGTCTTACAAATTCCTTGCTGAATATGGACCATGCTTTATACTCCCCCTCAAGCTTAACCGTAGGATACGAAGGCTAAGTTTGGAGACTCATGGAGCACCACTTCATTAAAAACCTTAGCATATAAAACCAAATTGGAAAAACTATGCTAAGGGAAAAAGAGTATGGCGTCCATGACTTAGAGAAGCTCGAGCATGCGAGATGTCCACAAGCCCAAGTTTTCTGTAGATGTGATCACAGACCTTGAGACTTGCAGCTTTGGTGAAGATATCTGCCAGTTGATCTTCACTACGTGTATAG